AGAGTGTATTGCTGGATGTGGACTCAGATTCTGTGCCCATGTTAGGAAAGGTCTTGTTCTGTTCTTTAAAGTTAAGAGGCAAGAAAAGGTTTGCCTCCCAAAGCCTCTGAGAGAGGTTTATCATTGCCCAGCATAGGTTGTTAATGATGAACTGGTTTTAACTAAGAGCTGTATGTGACCCATCAGTAGTGACCAGAAGAACTTAAGAAGAGCCCTAAAGGATCAGACCAATGGTCCATATAGTCCAACATCCTGTCTCACATAGTTCCTCTGGAGGGCCAATGGAAAGAAGGAAGTGTTTTTTTTCCTTTTTGAGTTTCCCTGTGCTCGGATGTCCTGGTGGGCAGCCAGGCTGGGGATCTCAGCCCTAATGAGGCTGGAAAAAAAAACCTGGCCCGAAAAACTCTGCCTTTCAGAGCAGACCATACTAGGCTAGACTTGGCCTAAGGGCCATAAGACTAGGGAGAAGAGAACTGCCTCTTGCCCTGGGCCAGGGGTCTGCAACCTTTAAGACATAAAGAGCCACTTGGACCCGTTTCCGACGGAAAAAAACAACCGGGAGCCGTAAAACCATTGCGACATTTAAAACAAATATAACACTGCATATATTGTTTCTTACCTGGCACACCCTGGGGCTGTCATTCCACTCCCTGAACACTCCTGGCCCTGTCATTCCAGTTCCTGAACACTCCTGCTCCACACCGGGGCTGTCATTCCACTCCTGGCCCTGTCATTCCAGTTCCTGAACACTCCTGGGACACCCTGGGGCTGTCATTCCACTCCTGGCCCTGTCATTCCAGTTCCTGAACATTCCTGCTCCACACCGGGGCTGTCATTCCACTCCGTGGCCCTGCCATTCCAGTTCCTGAACACTCCTGCTCCACCCTGGGGCTGTCATTCCACTCTTGGCCCTGTCATTCCAGTTCCTGAACACTCCTGGCACACCCTGGGGCTGTCATTCCACTCCTGGCCCTGTCATTCCAGTTCCTGAACACTCCTGCTCCACCCTGGGGCTGTCATTCCACTC